CCTACACACCACTACCACCTGCACCACCACTACCACCTACACCACCATCACTCCCACCATCACCTCCACCGCCATTACTATCATATCGCTTTACAACAACAACCATTACCACCACAATTACCCAAACAGCTAACAACAACAACAAAGCTAATTGCCAAATGACCTGGTGGTGTCAAACTAGACGAAACAAAAACTATTCCAAACCTGACAAACAATGTTGATTGTTTGTTTGGTTTGTTTGTCAATGATTCCAAACCTGACAATCAACAACAAACAAAAATGATTCATAAACAAAACAGACAAACGCTAGTAATCTTGGCTTGATTCTGAATGATGTAGAGAGTGAGTATGTGGTGTTAATGGGCGCTGTATTCTGTCGTTCGAGCCCAACCCACTACCGCATATGTTGGGATATGTGGTGTTGGACGATTATGTGGTGTGAGGCAGTGTATATATATATATATATATATATATATATATATATATATATATATATATATATATATATATATATATATATATATATATCCAGGACACATTTTTATAAGTAACGAAACAAATTTACCAGTTAGGTGTCGAATGACAAGATGCATTTGGTGATTAGCAGTGTTCGTAATACATCGGCTGTATCACGTTTGTTTTCGTTGTATTACACCTGCCATGATGCTGCTACAGTAACACTTGCAGAGAGAGAGAGAGAGAGAGAGAGAGAGAGAGAGAGACACACACTCGGAACAAAGCAATGTCCCCATTCGGAAAATCTGTCAGTGCCTCGCTGGCTATGGAGGATGCTTGACTGATTATTTCCCAGAGAGTGTTCATCCCGGTGTTCATCCCGGTGTTCATCACGGTGTTCATCACGGTGTTCATCACGGTGAGGGGCAACGCGTCGTTACTCCCAGACAGGAAAATAAGAGTTAAGAATGGAGAACAGTAGAGTAGACGATGAATATGAATGGATAGTGTGTAAGGGGGATGAGAGGGACTGGGGAGGAAGGGAGGTAGGTGAGGGAGAGAGGATGAGAGGGAGGGAAGGAGAAAGGGAGGAAGGGAGAGAGGGAGGGAGGGAGAGAATGAGGAAGTAAAGAGAGAAAAAGAGACAGTTTTAAACACTTGGAGATGTATAGTGTTGCTGAGATCTTTGGTGTTGACAGAATGTTTTCTCTTGGTAGATATTGATGTGAGAAATACTCACACACACACACACACACACACACACACACACACACACACACACACACACACACACACACACACACACACACACACACACACACACAAGATAATGACCTAACGAAAAAGTTGAACAAATTTATTGTTCATGTTAACATTGTTTCTGGTGTTCAAAATATGTTTTATTGTAGTTGTTTGTGTGTGTTTTTTTTTTTACCTGTTTATTCACCAGCGTGGATAAAAATGTTGATTACTGAGCAGGATAATAGATTCAATCTCCATTTTTTATATATACTGTGCTAGAATGACTATCCTGTGGTCCCCAGGTCTCTCTCTCTCTCTCTCTCTCTCTCTCTCTCTCTCTCTCTCTCTCTCTCTCTCTCTCTCTCTCCTCTCTCTCTCTCTCTCTCTCTCTCTCTCTCTCTCTCTTTCTCTCTCTCTCTCTCTCTCTCTTTCTCTCTCTCTCTCTTCTCTCTCTCTCTCTCTCTCTCTCTCTCTCTCTCTCTCTCTCTCTCTCTCTCTCTCTCTCTCTCTCTCTCTCTCTCTCTCTCATTCGAGGTCAACACTTGTGTTCAGGAGTGGTATAGGAATACCCTGGAGGTCAGAGAGCATTGAAATTGAAATTGAAATAAGTTTATCGAGGTAAAATACACACAAAGGGATGAGGTAACTCAAGCTATTCTCACCCCGTTCAGTACATCGTGTTAATACATACATAGACACACCTCACAAACAATAAACATATTACCAAACATTCTGAGAGATAAACATCTACATTTCCTTCAGAGAGCATGTTCAAGGGGTAACACAACTAAAACTTATCTACAGAGTATTGCGCCAAATATTAATCGTGTGAATATGTACGAGCTCAGTTAAGTCACACATCTTGGGGTAATGTAGCTCATGAGCAGCTAAGATTGATTGATTGAGGGGTGAAACACACACACACACACACACACACATACACAGGAGCGCCTGAGGGAACTGTGCCTTACGACACTAGAAAGAAGAAGGGAGAGGGGGGACATGATAGGAACGTACAAGATACTCAGGGGGATTGACAGAGTGGACATAGACGAAATGTTCACACGGAATAGTAACAGAACGAGGGGACATGGATGGAAGCTTGAAACTCAGATGAGTCACAGAGATGTTAGGAAGTTTTCTTTTAGCGTGAGAGTAGTGGGGAAATGGAATGCACTTCAGGAACAGGTTGTGGAAGCAAATACTATTCATAATTTTAAAACCAGGTATGATAGGGAAATGGGACAGGAGTCATTGCTGTAAACAACCGATGCTCGAAAGGCGGGATCCAAGAGTCAATGCTCGATCCTGCAGACACAACTAGGTGAGTACAACTAGGTGAGTACACACACACACACAGACACACACACACACACACACACACACACACACACACACACACACACAGTTTCAAATGTAGATATAATAGAGCCCAGTAGGCTCAGGAACCTGTACACCAGTTGATTGACAGTTGAGAGGCGGGACCAAAGAGCCAGAGCACAACCCCCGCAAGCACAAATAGGTGAGTACACACACACACACATACACACATACACACACACACACACACACACACACACACACACACACACACACACACACACACACACACACACAATAAAAGCGGGTAAGGTAGTACAGTTGGGTTTGTTATTTACTCACAATTGAGAATTTTTGGTTCGAATCCCAGGTGGGACAGAATTAGTTGGGTGCACGTCCTATCACCTAATACATATGTTCACCTAGCAGTAAGTAGGTACTCAGCAGTTAGTCAGCTTGATGTGGGGTTGCATCCTGGGGATCAGTAATTTGACCTTGGGGGGGGGGGGGAGACCTCAACATAAGCCTAACGTGTATAAATACACGCTGGCTGCCTGTCTTCCCCCCCCCCCAACGTTATGAATTATTAAGGCCCTTGTGGATTTGTTCATTTGATGCATCAGGCTATTGTGATTTCTGTGTGCAATAACCATGGTTCATTTGGAATGGTGCAGACATTCACAGTGAAACTACAATCACGGAGCTGATATTCAACATCAGCTCAACTGAAGCCTAACCTTAGAAGCTCATTTGTGGAGAATGGCTTCAAGTGATTCCGTGAATAAATTAGTGGACACAGAACTGACGAGAGAGAGAGAGAAAGAGAGAGAGAGAGAGAGAGAGAGAGAGAGAGAGAGAGAGAGAGAGAGAGAGAGAGAGAGAGAGAGAGAGAGAGAGAGAGAGAGAGAGAGAGCGCCAATTGCCGCATTGAATTAATCAAGAACTGTGAACTATTGTTGAAAATAGATCGAGCAGATTGTTAAATGCGTGACATGATAGAGAAAGAATGTTTGAGTGTCAATGTTTGAGAAAGAAATGTTTCCCATCAGTGGGTGTGAACCTTTGTAAACAGCTAAGATATTTCAACACTACTTAATATTATTTTCCATCTTAATTCTGCGTAGTAAGTCTCTAGTGTTCGGGATGTATACCTTGAGGTGCTTCCGGGGCTTAGCGTCCCCGCGGCCCGGTCGTCGACCAGGCCTCCTGGTATATGTGACTAATAACACACATCACTTGGGAAAGATTTGGTAGAAACACCACAAGGTCTCCCGAGGAGTCGCACTCTCAGTGCCTATCTTGAGGTTATCTTGAGATGATTTCGGGGCTTTTAGTGTCCCCGCGGCCCGGTCCTCGACCAGGCCTCCACCCCTAGGAAGCAGCCCGTGACAGCTGACTAATACCCAGGTACCTAATTTACTGCCTAGAGTGATTGAGGGCAGGGGAATGTGAGGTTCATTGGTTCTGAGCAAGCCGTGGCTGGTCTGAGGTTACTGGAAATGAGATGTAAAAGAAGTTTCTCTGAGTGAAATGAGATGTAAAAGATGTTTCTCTGAGTGAAATGAGATGTAAAAGAAGTTTCTCTGAGTGAAATGAGATGTAAAAAATGTTTCTCAGAGTGAAATGAGATGTAAAAGAAGTTTCTCTGAGTGAAATGAGATGTAAAAGATGTTTCTCTGAGTGAAATGAGATGTAAAAGAAGTTTCTCTGAGTGAAATGAGATGTAAAAAATGTTTCTCAGAGTGAAATGAGATGTAAAAGAAGTTTCTCTGAGTGAAATGAGATGTAAAAAATGTTTCTCAGAGTGAAATGAGATGTAAAAGATGTTTCTGAGTGAAATGAGATGTAAAAGAGGTTTCTCTGAGTGAAATGAGGTGTAAAAGAGGTTTCTCTGAGTGAAATGAGATGTAAAAGATGTTTCTCTGAGTGAAATGAGATGTAAAAGAAGTTTCTCTGAGTGAAATGTGATGTAAAAGATGTTTCTCAGAGTGAAATGTGATGTAAAAGAGGTTTCTCTGAGTGAAATGAGATGTAAAAGAAGTTTCTCTGAGTAAAATGAGATGTAAAAGAGGTTTCTCTGAGTGAAATGAGATGTAAAAGATGTTTCTCTGAGTGAAATGAGATGTAAAAGAAGTTTCTCTGAGTGAAGTGAGATGTAAAAGAGGTTTCTCTGGGTGAAATGAGATGTAAAAGATGTTTCTCTGAGTGAAATGAGATGTAAAAGATGTTTCAGAGTGAAATGAGATGTAAAAGAGGTTTCTCAGAGTGAAATGAGATGTAAAAGAGGTTTCTCAGAGTGAAATGAGATGTAAAATATGTTCTCTGTGTGAAATGAGATGTAAAAGATGTTTCTCTGTGTGAAATGAGAT